TCTTGCTTTCCCTGCTTCCCCACCCGCCGCGGCTGTTACGAAAGGAGCTGCTGGGAGCCACGATTCCGTGTGAGGCAGGGTGCAGGCGAGGCCCCGAAAGGCAGCGGCGGAGCCGTTATGGGGATGATGTCGCTTAAAACTCCCCAAGGATGTTCAACGCAGCCGGGAGACCTGAGCCGCCGTGGGACTGTTGAGGGGCACCCGGCGAGGAGTAGGCGCGTCGCTGGAGCCGTGCCATAAAACGTTAATGAGGTCAGAGCGGTAGAAACTTCAATAAATCCCATCTGTGTTTGGAAAGCTGCAGAACGGTGGGAGAAAATTCCCATCCCTTGGTAACTAAGGAAGGTATCAAATAACAACTCCTCAGGGACAAACGTTTTCAAGCCAGGAGAGGCAGATAACCTGCATGCGGGAGGCTTTAAAGAGCTCACTGAGCCTTGGCACACGGGGAGTTTCTAGAAAGCCGGAAGGTTTCTGACACTCTCTCAATAGCAAAGAGGCAAGTGGCATAGCCGTGAGCCAGGTAGTCTGACGTCTGTCACCACGCAAGTGAGTTTCAAGTGAAGAGTACATCCATCAGTGATCCTTTTCTTGATTTGAGCCTCTTAAAAATTTACGGCTGCTGTCACGGACCGATTTAGAAATGGCACATCTTCAGCTGCCGCCTGAGAGCTTGCTCCTCCCGTCACCCCCGGTGACCCCCTCGAGATACCCATGCACCTCGCAGGAGTCTGCAGGGCGAAACCTCAAATGTCACGGTTAGGAACGGGCTTAGCGTAATTTAGCGTGATTTTAAAGCAAATAGATCCCATCAGACAAACGTGATTTTATTCTTCAAGGTTGCAGCTTTTCCTGTTCAGGGTAACAAGATCTCTGTTCTAGACTTCTGTCAAGTGTTTAAACTGCATGAGGTTTTGATTAAAGAACTAGTTGCACAGGGACCTGGGCTGACAACGCCTGGCTCCTGATGGATGTGTATCTCTTGGTTCATTTATTTTTAATTTCCCATCCTTTTCTCCTTCTTTGGAGACTAGAGGAATCTGCCAAGTGGATAAGAAGTGCTTGTGCTGGCGGGGAGGGGGGAGTTTGCAGGCGCTGGCAGCCCGATTTCACCTACCTCTGACCACTTCTTGCTAAACTCGGAGGAAGGTGCCTGGCCCAAAACCTCCCTACGCTGCTGGGAAGCAGCCGGGAGCTCGGGAGCTGTCAGGATTCAGACCTCTGTGAGCCAAACTGTGAGAAACCTTCTGGGGGCGGGAGAAAAATGCCTGATGCTGGGGGATTTCAGCAGCTCTCACTGTCTGTCTTGCAGAAGGGAAGGATTGAGCGGTAGCTTGATGGCGGTGTGTTAGCACCTCGCTGGGGAAAGGAAATTGCAGGGTATGAAATGGCTGTGCGAGGGCTGGGGCTGGAGCGGCAGGCAGAGCCTCGCAGGGACTACAGCTCGGTTAGCTGAAGTTTACAGGGTTGGGAGATGAACGAGTCCGAGTGATTTAATGGTCTTTTCTGGCCTTCAAATTCTTCAAACCTGTGAGAGTTTCATGGGCTCCCCCGCAAACCTCTGCCTGCCTGCAGCCGTGGGTGAGAGCAGAAAAACAGCCCTCAGCCGTCTTCTGGAAAGTGCTTTTAGATCCCGTTGTAGAATGCGACGATGATTATCTGCTTATGACAGATGCTAGATCAATAGCGCAGGGCTTCAAGCTATGCTGCAAGGCAATTGACTGCAGAAAGTGTTTCTTTATTGGGGTAAAGCTGGGCTTGCAACAAGGCTCGGATTTGCTCTTACATCTCCGGTCTTAAAATGTCACCACCAGCTCTGATGCCTTTCATCCTTTGTGCAGGGAGACAACGCACATTATTCGTAATTGGACTCTCTACCAGGCAGCAATAGCCGTTTTCATTTCCTTCAATGCCTGAGAAAGAGCGAGGATTTG